AAGAGAAGACTGAGTGCGAACTCTAGTTTCAGCCCTTTTGGACCGTTTGCACAATATTTTAAGTGCAGTATAGCTTTTAGTGGAGGGTGGATCTCTATAGCTACATGGCTAGCTGCAGGAAATTGTAAACTAATGCTTGCGGTTGATCTGTTGAAGTCTGTGTGCATTCTTACGAACTTATGGAGCTTAATATAGGGTAGGACACATTCTGTCATGCTTATGGGGACTGAGTAAAGAAGGGAGAGGACTTGTGGTCTGTACAGCTTTTCATCCTTCAATAAAAGATTATATATTCAGTATATTTTAAAATATACTGAGTAAATTGAGGGAAGAGGCACAATCTGATAGCACTGTATGAAGATTCCCTCTGTTTGGTTGCTTGTCTGAAGAGGCTGTGGAACTTACTGTGAGACAGTAAGTTTAGAGGCAGCAGGATTTGTCTTTCTACCTCTTGGTTTCCTAGTGTTTTGTTTTGTTGTCATGCCCACACAAACAGGTGCCTGGTGTAAATTTGCCTGTCAGCCAGCTGGCCTATTTCTTCTCTGCAATCCTCATCAGTGGTGTGATACATGAAGTCGGCCATGGGGTGGCAGCGATTCGGTAATACAAATTATTTTTCTCTTACTGTGTGTCAACAAAGCCTAAAATTCCAGAGTGTTTAATTTCAGGCAAATATTGTTAGCATTTCATTGGCTTATTTGGAGAGTATGTTTATTCTGTTTTTAATAGCATTTTGCAGCTTCCGTAGACTAATTTAGGAAGGATGTGCAAATGAGGATAGACTTTAATGCAGCGTCTATTGTACAGAACATGATAAATGACTTTTTCTTTGTAAATATACTACATTGTGTCATATTTACAATTGCACTTCTTTAAAACTACCTTATTTTTACCCAGGAATTACATTCCTGTAGCTGTAGCATTTGCAGAGGACCTGTGCACTCTGGCACAATGGTATTTTATAATAGATTGTAAATTAATTTTTTAAACATAGCTTGTAAAGTAGTATATCAGCACACTGAAACCTGGAGGTAACTCCATCAGTTGTGATTTATGCCTGCTAATTTCAGTGAAATGTTAATTTTGATCACAGATGAAATTTTTTGTGTCACTTAGTTATGATGATTACTTCACAAAAAATACTTGCTACGATTAATCATTACTGTTAAATGACATTCTAGTATAAGAGGGTTAAGTGGTGGCTATTGGGAGGTGAACTTGATATTCAGGTGCCCTCTGCATTTCTCTTGGACATTGTAGGCATTATTTGTCCCAAGGGCACAAAGCCCTAAGTTGTTTTTACACATTTTCTTGAGTGTAGGAAGTCCTGACTGTGCCTTAACTAATTACTTTCTAACTGTAGAAGTTCTCAATTAAAGGAGAACTTTGGGACCAGAATGTTTTTCATCAGTCTGTTTAGCTTGTTTTCTCTAAAATTCACTGTGATTGTTCTGTTGAGAATGAGACTCTTGCTCTTGATTGTCCTGCATTAGAAGGTTGTACAATGTTAAATTGCCATCAGTTAAAATACATGTTTACAAAAATTAGGATTTTTTCCCACTCAAATGGCTGCTTCTGCTTTCTCCTAGGCATTTTATTTTTCCTTTCCTTGTTCAGGTTAGTCTACACTGCTCTTAGGGTCAGTCCTCAGGGTTTAGGTTGTAGTAAGTAGCTGCTGTGGGAGAATTTCATTATTCTGGCAAATCATTTTCACTCCCTGAAGTCTGCAATATGCTTTTTCCAAGTGCAGTTCAAGGTAGCTTAAAATATTTGAGCCAAGGCTTATGCGAGAAAGGCATTTGTCACCTTATAGAGCTGCAGCCTTTGAAATCAGTATTTGCTTTAACCTGCAATGGGCAGGCTTATGGCAAGGGGGTTATTTGCTCAGAACATTAATTTTGTAATGTTCTAGATCCATTTTTCATAGATGACAATCTGTTTAAATGTTTGGCTCCAAAACCTTTTTCTTCTTCAGTCTGTACCTTTTACGTATGTTACAAAATCTCGTATAGTCATTACAACACCTTTCATTAACTTGTACTATGGGTAGATCTGATGAGTTAACTGTAGGGAATTAATGTATTATTTCATTCTGAATCATTTCATATTATATTCTTTCTTTTTTTTCTTACTGTATTTACACTTTGTTCTTGCAGCTAAGATTATATGAAAAAATAAAAAAAATTCTATGCCTAGAGTGCTGTCACAGAAAAGATGTGGCATTAGCTGATCCATGCCAGGTTTGCAATAGTCAACTTGGAGTATGATTATAATGACTATAAGTCTCTTAGGAAATTTCTAGATTCATAAAACCTTTATGTAGTTACTCAAAAAAAGTGCTATTTAAAAGCACTTATAGAAACTCAGGAAATGATGTAATGTATGACAGTGTCAGGTATCTGTAAATGACGGTTTGTCCTTCAACCCTATTGAATTTTCCTTTTTTTTTTTTTTTTAACAATATTTACCCTCATTTTTTTTTTAGCTTATAAATTACTTCAAATTTCCTTATGGACAAAGAGAGAAATGATAAATCCAGACAATGTATAGGCCTTCTTGTAACTTTTTCCAGATATTTTTTGAGAGATTAGTCTGAAATTGAGTCCTATGCTGCCATGTTTTACTTAAAAAATACATGCATATATATATATATATATGTTAACTAAATGTATATGTTAACGTGAAAGTAGATAGGATTCTATATATTAGTCTTACCAGGAACAATAAAATTTATTGAAGTGTTTCATAGCAGTCTTGCAATTGTATGTTGCTAAAAGATAAGTTCCAAAATGATAACTGTAGTTATTCCAGTAGTCAAAAATGTATGTATTATGCAGAATCACTCATTTCTTGCAGTTACTTGTTTATATTAACATGACTTTTTTTCCTTTTTTTTGTTAAGAGAACAAGTACGGTTTAATGGATTTGGGATTTTTATCTTCATCGTCTATCCTGGAGCATTTGTTGACCTCTTCACAACTCACTTGCAACTTATATCTCCAGTCCAGCAATTAAGGATATTTTGTGCAGGTAATAGTTCGAACTCTTTTATTAAATCTTCACTTAGAACAGTTATTAGTTTTACATGTCTTTGTCGACATGCATCAACATGACATGAATCATCTGCGTATCTGATTCATATTTTTCTGGACAAATTTGGGCATACACAATAACACCTCTAAAATAGGCGTAATGTACATGTCCTTGACAGCAAACTGAAGGCTTAAAAAAGACAGCATAAAAGCTTCTCTATGCTTAAAAGTGATCCTTCTGTTCTGGACATAAAACTGTTCTGCCAGTGATGTCCAAAAATCTATTGAACACTTCTATCGATTATCCTGCTGTTTTCTGGGGGAAGAGATTTCAGTTTCTAAGGAGCCCGAATGTGTACCTATTTCCTTTCATGAAAAATATTGCTATATCCTAGATCTGATGCAGAATAGTTGTGCATAGGAAGTTTCAGCAGTACAGTTGGAGAGGAATGCAGTTTCTGACCTTCTTCTCGCATTAGAATAGGCTCTTACACCTACGCAGGTACAGAAGCTTTTCTGCCTGTTTTCTGTATTATATGTCCTGATTGATAAAATCTTGGAGCACACAAGCTGGAAAATTCTAAGCCAAAGGCTGGTGGTATGAAGACAGAAGTAGCTTTCACAGCTGAACAATCTTGAGCAAATCACTTCCATTTTCTGCAATAGGTGCTATCTGTTACATATTTTTCAATAGTAGTTTCAAGAAAGTGTAAGCTATATTATTATACAGGTCACTGCTTTGATGTTGCTGCCAGGGGGAGATAAAGGTTAAAACACAAACATCCAAATAAGATCACATCTTATGTTTCAAAATAACCTCCAAATGGTTTTGGCTGGATGTTTTTTTACTGAAGAGAAAACTGGCTACTGTGTTATTCTTCCTGGACTGCTTGCACAATTAATCTCTGGAAACAGAAATGTTTCCTAACCTATTGAAATAAAAATAGGAAAGTTAGCATTTTGATTTAGTTCTTTGTATTAATGTTTTTGTTCTATTGCAGGGGAGAATAGGACAGCAGCCTCCCTGTTGTATTGCTCACATACTAACATATTGTAACCAGTGAATATTGCAAAGGGGACTTCAGGCAGGGAATGCAGAAGCAGTTAGCAAAGCATATTTTCAAGCTTTTATAAACCACATAAATGATAATAAATACTAAGTAAATAAAGATAATTCATATTCCAAATACCTAACTAAGCTAAAATTATTCACTGAAATAAAGTATCTTTTATGAAGCCTATTTCTCAACTTAATCAGTTCCCTTTTTCAGCTACAAGGAACATATCTGGAAGACACATTAATTTTCCAAATGAGCTGCTTAATGTCTTTCTGCAATTATATAGAAAACAAAACTGTAAACTCTAACAGAAAGTAATTGCTTGCTTATTTTAAATGACAAGAAAATGCCTATAATAATTCCTAGGAAACCTGAAATAGGGAGATACAAAGTAGTAATTGAGACATATTGCAGGTTTAGGTGTAGTAAATATCTGCAGTTTAATGCAGCGTGGTAATGATAGTGTGATGTTCAGTAAATTTTACTCATTTTTATTAATTGCCAGAACAATTTAATGAACCTGTACTCAGTGTTTTGAAGATCTGAATTTAAAGACCTGAATTTATAGAAACATGCTTTCAAATTTTGTATTGTAGCTAAGTAAATAGAGAACTACACGGAGTTGTCCTCTGTAGGCCACCTATACTCTGGAGATTAAAAAGTATATTTGTTGTACAGCAGATGGCATCACGAGTTCAAGAATAGTGAAACAACATTCTTTTAAGACAAGTGATATTTTTAGCACTAATTTCATGCCTAACAGAGAAAGGGTATTCCTCTGCAGCGCTTATGTAATTTTTTGTTTTATTTTTGAGATCTGCTAGTTGTTTTAACGTAAAAGGGAGTTAAACATTTTGAAGTTATTATGGTAAGGTGTTGTAAGGATTGGGTGAAATATGCCTTTTTAAATATAGAGAATAAACTATCCAAGGATGAGACTGTTTTAGCAAAATGAAGTTGATAATATACTGAATAGTGCACTTCTTCAGATACTCTCTCTTACGGGCTTTTCTTTATTTATTTTTTTTTCCTATGGATTGCCTGGGATGGATTTCATGTCGTTCTTCTTTACATTTCTCTGCCATATTCCACACAGCAACCTATAAAGATTATAGTAATAAGGTCCATGTTTTCCAACTGTTTGAAAGTACTCCTTGTCATCCTCCAGCACTTCCATCAAGTTTCCTTTTTTGTTGTTGTTTTTTGTTGTTTTATTTTATTTTTATCCACTTTCTGTAGTAGCCACACTGTTACAAAGTAATTTTAGTTCTGTCTTTGCTTTTTATCCTGTATTAAGCTGAGAAAAGAAAAAGATTATTTTTAAGTTAAAAAGTTTTTTGTAATTAAGTTAAAATCTGTACTTAACTCTTCATTTTTGTTGTGCTGGTGTCTGTGTGTGCAATAAGAGAGAGAGAAGAGACCTTAATGTGGAAACGCTGTATTTATCTGATCGCTTTCAATGCAGTACAGTTAAAAACTTGCAGGAAGGGATATTACTTTAAAAATAGCTGCGTGTGGAAATGACAACAAACCCTTAATTAGAATACTCCAAAAAATGTTTCTCATTAGAAACCTAGTAGAAGAAAAAAGTATTTTTATAAAACCTAATGGCATGTGGGAACAGCCAAGGAAAGAAGAGTCTTTCATATATTACAGTAATTATATATGGTATGGAGTTACATTTTTTTAAATACATTTACTTTATATTGCCTAATGAATCTATTGCATAATAAAATACAGAGTTGAATCAAATCCTTCGTAACAGGGTGAAGCACTGTAAGAAGGAAATAAGGAGTTTTAAACATTGGAAAGATTTTTTTTTACATGGGTCATACAAAATTTTTGTCCAAGAACAGAAATGGAATGAAAAATTTTTTGTAGGATGGGATGTTAAAGGAAGCCAAGTATGTCTTATGAGGAGTTGTTTTCATCCTATGGAGAACCACTTGCTATAACAATTATAGTTGTAAATATGAAACCAAAAATAATGGGTAAGCAAATGCTAGTTATACAACATAGTTTCTTGATGTGGTTTTTAGGTCCATATTTTAAACATGATTTTAAAAGAAGCTATTTTTCTAATCTTGTTTGGCACACAAACATGTAATTATTCTCATTTTAAAAGGATTGATCTGATGTAGATAACCATGGAAAATATTCAGTTGCAGCTAAATGTACTGCAGCAGTATATCTTTCTCACAAAGAGCACATAGTATTTCATATTTGTATTTAAGTCCATTTATTAAAGATTCTTTTGACATTTTACTCTTGTAGAAAGTGACAAATGATACATTTCTTTCCCTTTTTAAAAAAATATTTGTAGTTTATAACAATTCATTCAAAATTAGTAGTAGATTCAGAATAGCAGTGTTTTGCATATGGATACTCTGCCCAGTACATACTCATACAATAATGTTATGTGATGAAAAATCAATGGTAGAATGACACCTTAAAATTGGATCTACCCCTTTCCTGTATTTTCGAGTAAAGCAAGTCACACTTTTGGTTTGTTTCTGGTGCATATAAAAGTTGTGTTTGCAATATACTGTAATCTATTAAGTGTACAGTAGCATTAGAAAAAAAAAAGTATATGCCTTATTTTGCAAAATTCTTTATTGCTAAAAATGCTAACCATCACCTTCAGCAAGGTCTTCAGCAAGTAGTAACCTTTTTGCTGATGGAAGGGCTCATGTCAACACTGATGGCTGCTGACAGATCAGGGTGGTGGTTGCTGAAGGCTGGGGTGGCTGTGGCAGTTTCTTAAAATAAGGCAGCAATGAAGTTTGCTACATTGATTGACTCAAAATTGGAATCAGTCCTCTCAAATCTTGCCGCTATTTTATCAACTAAATTTTATGTAAAAATCTAAATCCTTTCTTGTTATTTCAACAATGTTCACAGCACCTTCACCAGTAGTAGATTCCATCTCAAGAAACCACTCTCTTTGCTCATCCATAAGAAGCAACTCCTCATCCATTCAATTTTATCATTCATGAGATTATCATGAGATTGCAGCAATTCAGTCACATCTTCTGGCTCCACTTCTAATTTTGGTTCTCTTGCTGCTTCCACCATGTGTACAGTTACATCCTTCACTGAAGTCTTGAACGCCTCGAAGTCATTCATGAAGGTTGAAATCAACTTCTTCCAAATGCACTTTAATGTTGGTATTTTGACCTCCTCCCACGAATCACAAAAGTTCTTAATGGCATCTAGAATGGTGAATCCTTTCCAGAAGGATTTTGATTTACTTTGCCCAGATCCATCAGAGGAATCACTATCTATGACAGCTATAGCCTTATGAAATGTGTTTTTTGAATAAGGCTTGAAAGTCAGAATTACTCATTGATCTATGGGCTGCTGAATGGATGGTTGTGTTAGCAGGCTTGAAAACAACATTAATCTCATTGTACACCTCCATCAGAGCTCTTGGGTGAGCAGGTGCATTGTCAATGAGCCATAATATTTTGAAAATGGTCTTTTCTTCTAAGTGATAAGTCTCAACAGTAGGCTTTAAATAGTCAGGATAGCATGTTGTAAACAGATATACTGTCATCCAGGCTCTGTTGTTCCATTTACAGAGCACAGGCAGAGCAGACTTGGCATAATTGTTAAATGTCCTAGGATTTTCAGAGTCATAGCTCCAATTCAGAGCATTGGCTTCAGCTTAAAGTCACCTGTCCTTTGAAGCCACTCTTGACTTCTCTCTGGCTATGGGAATCATAGATTGCATCTTCTTCCAGAATAAGGCTGTTTTGTCTACCTTGAAAAACTGTTGTTTAGTGTAGCCACCTTCGTCAATTATCTTGGGTAGATCTTCTGGATAACTTGCTGCAGCTTCTACATCACCACTTGCTGCTTCGCCTTGTGCTTTTATGTTATAGAGGTGGCTTCTTTCCTTCAACCTCGTGAACCGGCCTCAGCAAGCTTCAGGCTTTTTGTCTGCAGCTTCCTCACCTCTCTCATCCTTCATAGAATTGAAGAGAGTTAGAATCTGGATGAGGCTTTGGCCTAAGGGGATGTTGTGGCTGGTTTGATCTTCTATCCAGACCACTAAAACGTCTTTCATAACAGCAAGAAGGCTGTTTCTTATCATTCGTGTGTTCACTGTAGTAGCACTTTTAATTTCCTTCCAGAACTTTTTCATCTGCATTCACAACTTGACTGTTTGGCACAGCAGGCCTTGCTTTTGGCCGGTCTCAGCTTTGACATGTCTTTCTCAGTAAGCTTGATCATTTCTAGCTTTTGATTTAAAGTGAGAGACGTGCGACTCTTCCTTTCACTCAAACCCTTTAAAGGCCATTGTAGGATTATTACTTGGTCGATATTTTTGAAATTAGGGAATGGGGGGCGGGGAGGAGTGGCAGGAGAGAGGAAGAGACCGGTTGGTGGAGCAGTCACAACACACACAACATTTTATCATTTGCCATCTTATATGGGCGAGGTTTGTGGCACCCCCCAACAATTACAACAGTAGTGTCAAAGATCACAGATAAAACAATGATGAAAACATTTGAGATATTACAAGAATTAGCAAAACGTGACACAGGCATGAAGCGAGTACGTGCTGTTGGAAAAAAAAATGGTGCAGATAGGGTTGCTTGATGCAGGGTTGCCACAAACCTTTAGTTTTTAAAAATAAAAAACACAGTATCTGCAAAGTGCAAAAGACCAAAGTGCAATATAATGAGGTGCATCTATACGTGTGTGTATATATATAGCAATATGTATAAGTAATATTATTTTCAAGGGTTTGGAAGATTCACTAAAGCTACTTCCTGTACAAGTTTGTAAAGTAATATACATACTCTTCTTTATGCCTGTATTCATAAATTAACTTTTCAGCTATTCTTACAGTAAATATTTCAGGAAAAAATAATTAAAAGGTAGCTAACATCTGCATTTCAGAAACGCTTTTTTGTTATTTCTATTGGTTTTTATTTAAAAACATTTCGTATACCTTTTTTTTTTTTCTCTCCTCTAGGAGTGTGGCATAATTTTGTCCTTGGTGTTGCAAGTCTTATAGTTTTGTTTCTGCTACCAGCCATTCTTTTCCCTTTCTATTACACGGGTGTTGGGGCACTTGTCACCGAAGTCACAGAGGTAGGAAAAGATCTTGAATGGTTTCATATTATATGCTTTAAAATAAATAAATAAATAAATAAGCTCTTTTTCATGGAGAATAATGTTTTTGTAACACTCTCTCATAAGTTAAAATATCCATTAGAGTCAGATACTTTCTGTTTCTGCAAAAATAATTTATTGGCTAAGCATTACAGCATAACTGTAAACTAATTATTTTAGTTTTAACAGTAACATGACTGTATGACTAATGTCACTTTTTCTTCTCAGGATTCTCCTGCCAATGGACCAAGAGGCCTTTTCGTGGGAGATCTTGTCACTAGCCTGCAGGACTGCCCAGTTTATAGTGTGGAAGACTGGAATTACTGCCTGGGAGACATTACACAGAAGTCACAGATTGGCTACTGTATAAATGCAGCAACCCTACAGCAATTAAGTTTTCCAGCCAGAGGTATGACTGCTGGTGGCCTCTTCATTAGATTATAATTTTATCATATCTTAAAGACTCTTTTGGATTTAGGATTTTTACTGAGACAGCTTTTTGGTAAATCAAGTCTAGTATCCTGTCTTAAACAATGAGCTATGTGCCATTCCATATATTGTATGGTCTGAATAATGATATTTGGCTCCCCAGGATATTCCATAATTTGTTTATTGCCAGTAATACAATTATCTCCTCTATGTCTACTTTAGTTATATCAGTCATAATTACAGATATAAATACCACATACTGCCTGATTACTCTCGCCTGTGTAACATTACAAACTGTGACATAAGTTAATAGCGTGCTTTATTATGGCCGCTTCTGATCTGTCTCACTCTACAGCTTTTAAGCTCGTTTGCTTCTCCAGACTTTGCTATAAACTTATTTCTGACTGGATTGCACATATTTCTTCTGGAAGCCAGTTTATTTCCTTCTGTTTTCATTTATACATTAGATGACTTGTTGCTGTTGCAGTTTACCCCCAAGAAACAAAAACCAGGAACTGAATTGAACTAGAACAATAAACAAAATTAACTAGAAAAAAAAAAAGTCAAATTAAATTGTCTGAATGTCTTGTGACGTGCCCTAAAGCTCTTAAGAGTTTGGTTCATGCAGGCATCCAGGGAGGTTGAATTCCAAAGGTAAGAGGCTGCAGCTAAGCAAAAACTGAGTAATGCTGTTCAGAATTTTAAAATTTTCCGTGGCATTTTTCCATCATATTGTGAGTAAAAGGGAGGTCAGGCAGCTTGAGTACCCATGTTTTTTGATGAATTATTGTTGTCATGTGACATAGAAAATACAACATTTTGCTTTTTTCGTATGTAAGGAAAGTAAACTTACAGCGCGAACTAAGATAAATATTTAAACCAAAAGCTTGAGGAGCATGGGTAAGACTTCAGGCTTTCAGATGTCTAATAGTTTGGATTATCTTCTGAAGATGAGGGGCAGCTTGGCACATGCTCTCAGCTGGGCTGGAACAGCAAGTGAAAAACAGTTTGTAGATCCTAGAAAGATATATGTGCTGAGATTCTGTTGCCCTCAGAAATACAATTTCAGAGTCATGGGTAATAAAACTGCATATTCTGCAGCGGAACCAGTCCTATTTAGATGGAAATCTAGAGACTTAATATTGCTTCTAAGCTTGGTTGCTGTATTGTATTAGCAGCCTATTGTCCCACTGCTGCTTTCTAATCAGACCAGTCTGTCTGTATTTTCTAAGCCACAGACCTCCAGCAGTGAGAAATATTCCTCTGAAATTAAACGAACTCTGTTCAGTCTCTAGCTGCTGTCATTTGTCAAAAACTTGACAGCTCACAACTTGACACATATAGTGTATCAGTAAAAATGTGTATAGCAAATGGACCCTGTCTACTTGACTATAAAACAAGTGGAGAATAAACTATTTAAGGTAAATATGAAGCTAGGTTGAAAACAATGCCCCAGAGGCCTATCTGAGATTAAAACCAAAAACACCATCACCAACAACAACAAAAAGGAGTTTTTAATGTGGTTTGTAAGGAAACTAATTTTATGGTCATTCACTATTTGGACATATATATGATTGCTTAGCCTCAGGATATTTGAAACAAAGCCTCAGGCATAAAGCCCCATGTTAGTGGACTACAGAGCATGTTGAGGTAAGTGGGCAAGCATTACTGCAGGCCTCATGTACCTAAGGAAGGCAAGGCAGTGCTGCTGCAAAATGGATCATTGTGGTGATATTCTTTTGTGTGTGTGTGTGTTTTTTTTTTTTTTTTAACTTCTTGTTGTAGAGTCAAATGTGATTCACAAAAATTCGAAACCACATTGTATCTAAATCAGTTGTGCACTGTAGCTAAATCAGTTTTAAAATGTCATTTATATGCTGCTTTAGCCCTTAAGGCTTGGAAAGCTTTCAAAACCTGAATCTCAAAAAGGCCGCTCACATTTTAGAAAGGGCATTTTGAGCCTTGGTCATTTCCATAGTCAGGCACTGAAATCAGTACAACAAATTTCTGTTCTAGCAGTTATTGCTAGCTGGAGGCAATAGATAAAAGTATTTTGTAACTCATAATGCTCAGTACATTGTAGTAGTAGGTCTATGAACTGTCAAGGAGATTTTTTTAAGAGGAAAAAATCAACATTTGAGAGGAATCATTGAAATCAGGTGTCATTCTTAAAATGGCGAAATTTGTTTTCAGCGATGACTGAATCACGGCCAGGTTCTGTGAATTACTGTATTTCCTCAAGGCTGCAGAATTATTATTTTGTTCAGAGAATTTCATTCCTTTTTGGGAAGTTAGTGTGATACTTTACTGATCTTTTGTTCTATGCCTATGTTCTTTAGTCTATAGAAGACTTGATGGCACAGTTGAATGTTGTAGTAACAACAGCCTCACAGACATTTGCTTTTCGTACAGCAATAACTTGGACAGCCTCTTGGTAAGTTACTTAAGTTGATAATTTTGTTTCGTAAATCTAAAATTGTTAAAATGAAATTAATAATGCTTACCAGCATTATACAGCATACTTAAGTGCCTAGGAATACCCAAAGCTTGTAAAAAAAGGTGCACAAATACATTACTTGCCCCATCTACTAAGAAAAATAAAATTTCGGTTATGATTTTTTTCTCATGATCGAAGAAAGAATCTGTGGAAGAACAAGAGGCCCCTGATTCCTTTAGACAGAAGGATATTCACGCTCCTTTTTCTCTCATTTTCTCCATCTCCACTTTGAACACAGAGCATTTGAGAGTTTAAAAAAAAAGGGGGGGAGGGAGGGAGGGAGGGGCTTGCTCCTTTAAAATACTGGAATGTGCGTTAAAAATAAAATACCCACTTTGACAGTAGTGGAATATTTCTAACAGTTCTCTATACAGAGACAAAGATCACAAGTAACAATTGTTTAAACTTTCCACACATGCCTGTTGGTTACTGTTCTGACCCGGGGTGTTAGATATCTCAAGAATTATAAAATAAGTCTGCTCTTAAATCTTCTGTGTTTACAATTTCTCTCTCATGTTGGACTTTCCACTCCATGTGTTCTTATGGTATCCAGCTACTAGGAATTGGGCACAGACCAACAGCTCATTTGAAATATGACAGTGGCTGGTAATATCATTGAGTTCAGCAAGGTTTGATAAATCACTGCCCCACGGAGCTTGGCATTCTTGAGCACATAGCTGTTGCTTAGGAGCAGAGAAGAAATAAAAGCATCTAAAAGCCTGTGACCTTCAAGTGTCCTTAGAATGAATGCAAGGTTTTGAACAATTATTTAAAATACTCTTTTGCAGCGCTGTGCAGCTGTATTTGAAAACATCCAAATGCCCTCTCCTCCTCATTACAATACAAAGAGCTGGTATTGAGGTTAATGGAGAGTGACTGATGCACACGCATCTGTAGGGAGGCATGGCCATTACCATCAGGCTTAACAAGCAAGAGCACTTCTTTTTCCCTAGTAGACGAAGACTTCCTTGTTTGTGTTGGAGAAAAGGAGGCAAATTACCACAGAACTTTTTCAGGACACATGGGAGAAAGGAAAAGGAATTTTGTTTTTCTGCTTTATTCTCTTTGGCCTGTTGGGAGCAAGAGAGATCCGGTCTTTCAGACTGCAGAGCAAAGGAGTGTTGCAGGTGACACAGAATTGCAGTAATTGCTGTGTGTATCTAATTCAGAATAGTCTCTTAGCAACTACGCAGCCAATATAGGGTCGTTGGGTTGTCTGCTGAATTTAAGGTTTTGTTCAAACTTACACTGTCTTATGTCAACAAGGTCTAAAATATCTTAAGCAGATAACTCAGTAGTCTGTTGATGAAGGTTCTGTTCATTAGAAATATTATTTTATGTATAAATGCATAGTATCTCTTTAGCATTCCTCCAAAAGTAAAATGTCAGGCAGAATCATGTATGTTAATATATAAGGTAAAGGTTCTGCAGGGCACAGAAATCTGACAAAAAGAAAAAAAAAATCATATTCTAGCTCTTTATGGCTTGGTAGTATGTCAATAAAAGTCATCCATATATTTGCTTTAAATATGCACGACATATTTTTTTATGTAGTAATGTAAGTAACGCTCTTCGCAGCATGCCTGTCTGCCAGCACGAAAGGCGATTGAGGCCAGCCAAGTGTGTCGAACCAACATGGACTGCCAGAAGGACTTTGTTCCAAGCTTGTGTGTCACTCCTTCTTTAGAGAACCAGACAAGACTCATCAGGGTAAAACATCCACCTCATATTGACATGCTGTTTGTAGGACACCCCATGCATCTCCAGTACACAGGTTTGTATTATTTATTTTAAAAATCTGGGGGGGGGGGCGGGGAGGAACATTTTTACTTTTTTGAAGTACTTGTCAGTTAACCTTTTTAAAGCAAATGGAGTTTTATTAGTGTCTCCTACCAAATTGTAATTCTGCAAGAGAACCTATTCTGTGCAGTTTTCAGAGATCAGCAAATAATGTTATTGCATTCATTTGGAGAGGCAGTCTATTTTAAGAAGGTACTGTGTGAATATAGGATTTACAGAGTACATACAGGACTATAATGGAGCTTCGTAGAGCTTCTAGAGAGGGTCCAGCGTAGAGCGACATAGATGATTAAGGGACTGGAGCATCTATTGTATGAGGAAAGACTAAGCGAGCTGGGCCTGTTTGGCTAGAGAAGACTGAGATATCTGATCAATATATACCAATACCTGAGGGGAGAATGTAGGGAGGATGAGGCCAAACTCTTCTTGGTGGTGGCCAGTGACAGGCCAAGGGGTAATGGGTCCAAGTTGAGACACAAGAGTTTTTATCTCCATGTGAGGAAGAACTTCTTTCCTGTGAGGGTGACAGATCCCTGGAACAGGCTGCCCAGAGAGGTTCAACCATTCTGTGATTCCGTGATAATTTTACAATGATTCATTGCAAACTCAACCTATGATCTATGTTCCACTTGGAAAAACACTAGAGATGCACTTACAAGATCTTGGGTAGTGGATATTTGTCTGTTGTAGAGTTCCATGCATTCCACTGGAATGACTTGGAAATATTTCAGACTTACTTTGCAATGTGCAGTACTGTCCTGTTTCACCTTTATGTACTATGAGCTCAGCTTCAGAAAGTGGGGATCTTCTACAGGTACTGAAACAGAGTCATTTTCTGGCCTTGAGAGAAAGCACATGTGTACAAGCAGGGTATGAATGTATGCATGTGGACTGCATATGTTGAAAAAGTCTGGTAATGATCATCTCTTCTTATATATTTTTATGGAAGGGGCTTAAGTTACCCAATATGGTCCTTATGGTACAGATGTCCAGTTGCCTTGGAAAATGTACATCTTAGATCTGCTTTTGCTGACATCATGTTAATTATACTTTGTGGAGTGATTTTATTATCTTAATAATTATGTCTGAGAGAATTAATGGCTACACTCTATTTTCTTAAAAGAAAAAGAAAAAATGTAGCAAATTCATATTAAGATAAGTTACTCATACTGAAGGAAAAAAAAACAAACCTAGATTTTTCTGCAAAACTATAATCTAAAATTTATGTTATTTTCCTGGAATGGCTGTTCATTTTTTGTGTCTTTGTATTTTCCTTTCAGTAAGTCTCAGCAGTTTTGTACCACGACATAACTTTCTAAGCATCGATCTGCCTGTGGTGATAGAGACATTTTGCAAGTATCCTTTGAAGTATGTTTGTTCTTTTAAGACAGAGAGACCTGTTTACAATTTGATGACCCAGCAAGATTTCAGTTGGATATGATTTTCAGTAGGATGCTCTGAAACCTATCTGTAGAGTTTTGTACATATTTGCCCCATATTGCAGTGATTATTGTTCATGTGCCAAACTCAAAAAGAAAAGTCTAACTTCCTTATTTTTAACAGGAAATTTTCGGTCATATTTTTTTTAACTCTTTCTTGTAAGTGGGTTTTAATCAAACCAATCCTGAATTTATGGCAAGGCCAATGAGATGTTGTTACTAGCTGAGTGTATTGGAGCTAATACAGTTTCTTAGCCATTACTCTGAACTAAATAACTTTTTTTAAGGAAAAAATGTCATATTCAAAAAGTAATATCATAACTTTTAAAATACGACTATTAGCCTGTATTAGTGACTGAGATTGTATATATACACACACATAAAGGCTAATGAGCTTTGGATCCAGTTAGTCTAAGAACTCTTAGCCTTAGAAACTGAAATGTTAATGGGTAGTTAAAAATAATAGAACACAGTAGTTTAGATTTGTTCATAAAACAGAAAAGATGATACACACGTTCCCCTTTCCTGATTTGATTGTATTATGTTTTCTTGGATGTTACTCACGGACCTTAACTTATTTCAATCAGGTACCTGATTTCACTGTCAGGAGCGTTGGCAGTTATCAATGCTGTACCCTGCTTCGCGTTGGATGGTCAGTGGATATTAAATTCATTCCTGGAAGCTACTCTGAGCTCACTGATTGTGGAAAAGCAAAACAGGGAGCTTGTTGGCTTTTTAATTTTACTTGCTGGCAGTGCACTTCTGGCTGCCAATGTTGCACTAGGACTTTGGATGGTAACAGCCCGGTAGGACATTGAATGAGCTGTGATAGTTATCGAAGTACACAAAACCAGTGGACCTATTGCCTTTCAAAACTTGGTCAGTACTGAGATTGAGATGATTCCCTTAAAATGACACTGGAAGAACAATCACTTGTGGCTGCTGTTTTACCCTAAATGTGTACAGTGTTGTGCCTGTGATCATGGAAAAACTGAAAGAAACAAGTAAGAACCTTTTTATATGCTCTTTAAAGCACGGTACTAATTATGGACAAGTTGTCTTGTAAAACTTCACAGGAAAAAGCCTGAAGCTTTATTAATCTAGGTTCCAAAATAAGGGAATTATTTGGCCTCAAATACTTGTAAAGTGGAGGGGGAGAACAGTTTTCTTTTGTAGTTTGAATAATTGTCAAGTAGTCTTTGTGGGATCTGACCATTTTACCAGTCACCGTAATCTTGAGTGTCTTGTCTTGTTTTTTAATCTAGTGATCTACCAAACACGTCTCTAAGAAACCCTAAAGTCTGAGCTCATCTTAAAATGGTGAAAGCTGAGTAAATGATAACCATGTGCTAATGAGAAGAGAGGCACCGTATGGGTTAGTATCTTTCCAGCTGGCCAATATGACTGGAAGGACGTGGTCCTCAGGATGTAGATGGGAAGTGACAATGTCTGTTAAGAACGGGGTATGTGGAGGATAGCAAAGCCTCTGTGTCTGTGTTTCTTAAGTGTTCAGTGGTGTAATACCAGGTACAGCTGAAGATTTTAAAAGGCAATATTTTTCAGCAATAGCTAGAAAATTATCTGAAATTATAGTTCATGAGTACTGAAGCCTTTTGTGCAAAATTATTCCTAATGATAAATAATCTTTGTGAGGTTTTTTATTTATTTTTTTATTCAGAAGGTAATACTGTTTACTGTTAATGGTGTAACCTGTTGTTTCTTTCTTGTCGATCTTCGGCTGCTATGCATGCAATACAGTTGATGTACAGTAACTCACTAACATCTGTCTTTCAAAGAGTTGTTGTTAGGATTCATTCTAATTTTGAAAAACACTTAGCAACTTCCAACTCACAGAGCTGCTCCAGTTCAGAGTTGTTTTGAAGACATGGCCTTTTCATCCAGGAATTTAGGTGGAAGCTGAGCCTCCAAAGAGTGGCCTGCAAAGAGCAATGAAACACTCACAGTCAGCTAACGTAGATGGCACCTGGGGTAGAAACCTGCATGGTTTTACCAGCAGGATTGATCCCTGTTCCTGGTGCTACTGCATGGACTTGCAACTTTCATGTTTGCATTTTCCATAATTTTTGCACAGTAGCCTTCCTGTCTAGAATGACTGTAAAGTGATGGTTCCTTGGTTTAGGAACTGTTTGTATTAAGATAAGTAGGAAGGAGAGAATATGTTTGTTTATTTGTTGTTTTGCCACCCTGTCCCACGTGCTCTAGGTGTCCCTGTTTGAGCAGGGGGGTTGGACTAGATGATCTCTAGAGGTCCCTTCCAACCTCAGCCATTCTGTGATTCTGTGATTAGTTTATTATCTCTCCAGGGCTGTCACAGGCTTGGCCTCCTGAAGTTCACTGATGTGGGGTAGCAGCCCCTTGCCTCTGATTTTCAGTCAGTCACCCTGGGCATGCCAGCACATGCCAGATCCTGGTAAGGGAGAGTAAGTCATCCAGTGAGTCTAATGTGAGTCAGTCCCTTGGGGGGGAAAAAAAAGGAAGAAAGGAAAATTAAACTATTAGAAACTTCCAAAAGACTTCTCTTTCTTCAGCAAGCATCTTACAAATCTAATTCATCACTCATGCACTAAACAGAGATTTTGGAGGAACAGTTCTCATGTGCCGTTCTTTCTGTGCACTAGAGTGAGCTGAGCTGCGCGGTTCCCACACGAGGCCCAGCTCTGAAGCTGCGCTCGGGAAGTCTATTCATTCACCTAAGAGGTGCTCACTGATCTCATCTCTTCCTTTTTCAGGGCTTTGTGCCACTTCTGTCTTCTCTCTCCATACCTTGGCCAGTCTGCACTGCACAGAATTAACTTTAATTTAGGAGGCTTAATGCCATTTAGTAAGACAGCATATTCACTCTTCAAAAAGGCTGCCATCGTTTACATATCAGAGTTGCAGTCTTTTTTTTCTAACACAACAAAACACATAGCTGATGCTTTCAAAAATATTCTGTGAATAACATTTAAAGTTTATTACATTATATATTCAAGTTGCCCCTGCTGCGTGGGACAATCTGTTCAGCATAATATTCCCTTTGTAGATGTAGGCAAGATGTTTAAAAATTTTATTTGGAATAAGATAGACAAGTTCTGTCTGCTATAATGAGGCTGGCAAGTTATCCCTGGTTATTTAATGTTCTACCAAAACCTTATGTTTTACCAAAGGAAAATAAATACAATTTCTTTAAGTAATCCGTTAAGACCAAACTTGTACGAAGCACGATGTCAGCCTCTGTCTGACATTATAATGAAACTGAGGCTGGAGAAGAGTGGTGGTGGTTTTAGCAAAACACACTAGTACACTGTAAAGACCCTGGTTAAATTCCGTGGGACAGATTAGTATTATGAGTATTTAAAAATAATTCATGCATCTGTTCCTGAATGTGCTGAATTTCTACTGACGGAGGTTAGATTTAGGTATGTACAGGTCCTCTGAATCAAAGCTTTAAAGAAATCGCAATCACTTGGTGCTCTTCGTTTAAAAGGACACCCAGCATGTTTTTTAGGTTACCTGGACCTCTTTCTCAAGAAAAAGGTTTTCAGTGGATCTGTTCTATCCTTTCAACCTAACCTATGGATTGCATGCTGATAAGCAAGTGCCATTTTTGACCATATATAGCCATTGGGAGGCTTTTTTGCTTTTTTTTGTTTGCTTGTTTGTTTGCTTGTTTGTTTTAGTTGAACATAGAAGGCCCTAGAATGTTTTTGTATGTTGGATTTTTACTCTGAAATATTTGCAATGTTTGTTTTAGTTTTTGTAAAAATTAAACTTCTTTCTTTAAAAAGAAACCTTTTCCCTTCACATTCTAACTAGCCCTCAGAATATAATATATTATTTAATAGAGAATCCATCAATTTAATTACAGGGCATATTGAGTAGAGTACAAAATAGAACACTATTAAAATCTACTATTTTTATATATCCTATGCATTTTGAATAAGTCTATATGAGATGGGAAAAGTAATGTCTAATGTTGGGAGGCAGTGTATGTAGCTTTTACTTGAAAACTGTCAGAAAATTTCCATACTTGTAAATGATCGTTATTCTGAATCATTTTTTTTGTAAGAGGTTCACTTTTTTTTTCTCCTATCAGCAAACACTTTCAGAACATAGCATGTTCTGATAACGTATGACATGAAAAATTCTTTTCTTCTTAGATTACAGAATCCTACATTCTTAGGATGTAGGTTCTTACATGCTCTTTTGTGACTCGGTGATTAAAACTGGCTTGTTTTTCCTTGTAAATTGAAAGAAAGAGACTTCACTGGGAAGGTTATAAATGAGCCTTGTAGATTAGACATTCCAAATTTAGGTGGCTAAGTAGAGAATCAGTCAACTCTTCCTTTTTAATTAGAATGAAGCAACCAATTGCATTGGCAATTATATTTTTCCTTGATGATCCTGTGTGTGGGTGCGCATATGTGTCTGTGTGTATACAAACACAGTCTGCATTGCTGCTTTTCTTGGGAAAACTTAGACCAGTCCTCCATATTCTGGAATGTAAGTGATTTTTTTTCCCCCTATGTATAAATTCTGTGGCTTTCTCTGGAATTTTAAAATTGCACATTTGTTCTCATAACGGATCTGTAGAGATTTTTTACTAGCGCTGATGGACATAAAATTCAAATTTATACTCAGCTAAAGTTGGAAATATCCTACTATCTATGAGGCTTCAGGTGTAAGGATGCTAAACACAGATTTTTATGGCGATTAAAAGAGATCAATCTTAGAATCTGCCCCTCTCCAGCCCTGCTGTTTGTGCTATTCTGAATGATAACTGAGATGTGTGAGACTGAGGAATACACTGAAGAAAATAAGGCTTTCAGCCCACACCTTCCCACAGCACCATCAGCTTTCTTGACTCTCTTGTCAAGGCTCTATTTTTGTTCTATTTGAGCAGTCAATGTTTCAAATATCCCCGTAGATTCTGCACATTACACGGCCAAGGGTGCCTTGTAATGAAAACAATAACAATATCTGCATGTCTTCTATCAGAAAGATCTGAATTTATATCTGGATGTTATCTATGACAGTTAAAGCAGGGATATAAAGGATTACGTAGCCTAGTCTGTATTTGTTTGGTAAGTTGTTTTATGACTGTAGAGATTCATAATTACTGTAAAGCACGTGTTCTGTACACCAGCATTCAGACCAATTCCCACAACCAATCTTGTACCAGTTTTCTTCTGGTGACCTTGTGGCTAAGGAGGTTGAATCTTAACTCAGGTAACATCTAACATTTGCAATTAATGTATACCCTTTGTATCCTGGACAGCATGTAACGCTACGTATAGATTTGTTACTTAATGTGGCTGTTATTTGTGGTATTTGTCCTGTATTAATGGAGTATTTGGGAACTGTTGTGTTAGGCACTGGCAGAAAACGGCAGCTCTGTGCCTCTTTCTTATGCCTTGGACACATCCACTACTGTTGTATGAGGAACCTTCACACTGCTGACCCGATGAGAAAGAGCAGGGACAAATAGCAGGATATGACACTGCAACTCCATTCATTCCATTTATAGCCACGTGAAATGTGAAAAGAACTTGTAATTAACATTTCAGAACTTGCAGATATGTTCTCATACACTCGACAAAAATCATTCAGTGATTGGTGCCCAACGTTTTTTACTTTGCTGTTCCATAGATGTTTATGTACTGGTTTGGGTGGTCATAGCTTGGTCAGTAACATGGGATCTTTCCCACCTCCACCTGCTTGCTCTTGGGTTTGTTCGTGCAGCATCATATTGTAATTGACCTTCGCCTAGTATCAGTTTGAATATTTAGAGGCTATGAACAAGCCATCACCAGAGAA